GGTAATATATATTTTGAGAAATTTTCCAGAGTTCAAAGAACTCACACAAATGATGGACATAACTAAGGAAATGATGAAGTGATGGACATAACTAAATAAGGAAGTGAGGGACATAACTAAGGAAATTTTTGTCTTTTTTGCCTTCTCCTGCCTAACTTATTTTAGTTATGAACTTCTCACTTGGATATTTAGAAACTTTAGAATGTCCTTTTCATATTTCATACCTTAATATTGAAAAAATATTCAGTTTTGCAAGTGTAATCTCCAATTTAAAATAACTAACTTTTACACTAGAATGGACACCTTAAAATTCTATTGTTCTAGTGATGGACAAGGCATCGGTATCAATGATGGATATACCTTACAAGACCTCAAAAATCTTCATTAAACAATGAAAAACGATAATTTTAATTAATTACAATTTCACTCACCTATATATGAAATATATAATTAGATGAAATATTGCGATGGTGAAAAAAACTGATTCCTATTTTTTAATAGAAATGGTGTTTGAACCCTCGACGCTAGAAATGGCATTGTGAGGAAGACAAATAACAGAAGAAGAAGATGTTTGAATGTCTCCTTAGTCTCATCGAACGTCTCACAAAATGGTGTGTGTGGCTTGAGTTGTGCGTGGGTGTGCGCACGCATACAGATGCATCTGTATGCGTGCGCGCAAGATGCGTCTGTGTGTGTACGCGTGTTTGTGTGCATGTGTGTGCGCGCGTGCGTATGCTCATTTATGTGAACTCTAAAAGGAAAATACGTACGACTCTAGTATTGCCAATTCAGTGTTAAAAACAAAAATTAAGATTAAAATAATAAGAAATTCTTATATAGAAATAAATTATCACAAATGATTCCTTTCTTCAAATACAAACATTATCAAACATCTTTCCAGTTTAATTATTTGTCTGTTGTTCAAATGCTGGCGGATCTACGAGGAGGGCTTTCTGCTCCCCTCCCAAAAATAGTAAAATACTACCATGTTTAACAGGAAAAAAATATTAAAGACTATCTCTTAAAGTATTCTTGTTTGTGTAATTACACTTAACAGGACTTCAACAACCACTTAAACACCTTTTCATATAGGTAGTTTATTTCTTTCTTTTTTTTTCAAATTAATTATCGTTTCATATATATATTCGTATCTAGAGTCAAAGATGGGAATTCAATTTGTAATATTCCACTCCGAGGTGAATAAGCGATGGAAATATCTAGGTAATGGACATGGGTGGACCCAATGGTGGACACCCCTTGTCCAAGAATATTTAGAAACATATTGGATAAAAGCCAAGGATGGGGATTTTCCATCAGTTTTAGTTTCGGAAAACACAGAAATAGGACAATTTCGCACTACAAATGTACTACAAAGCCTGTAATGGACATTAGTGGGTTTTAGAGCAAATCACTAGCGGATCAAGGATTTAATTTTTTGGGGGGGCTTCAGCCCGAAAGATTTTTTTTCATGTACATATAACGATAATTAATTTTTAAAAAAAGAAAGAAATTAACTACCTATATGAAATGGTGTTTAAGTGGTTTAAAAGTCTTTAATAGTAATCAAAATTACGATTCGCGCACTATACGTGATATTCCCTTTCTATTGATACATCATTCGTCAAAATCCATCACTCCTGAGAGCTGGAAAAGGAATATATATTTGAGAAATAATATATAAGAAGACATTTCATATTATTAATCTCGCCTGGTTGATATTTTCACTTCTATCGTGGTCTAAAGCTCACACCTTAATTTTCCTCTGCTATTTCCCATACTAACAGACTACTTATAGCATTTGCAGACTACAAAATGTCACTTTTAGGACAAATAGAATTAAAATGAAAAAAATTTACATACTACCTTTTGCATTAACCACTAGCGGATCCAGGATTTAATTTTTTTGGGGGGGGCTTCAGCCCGAAAGATTTTTTTTTTCATATATATAACGATAATTAATTTGAAAAAAATAAGAAAGAAATGATCTACCTATATGAAATGTTGTTTAAGTGATTCTTGAAGCCCTATTAAATGTAATTACACGAGAACACACAAGAATACTTTAAGAGATAGCTTATCATATTTTTTTCTGTGTAACATGGTTATATTTTACCATTTTGGGGGAGGGGAGGGGGCTTCAGCCCGAAAGCCCTCCCGTAGATCCGCCTGTGGAGCAAATGGAGACATTTTAGAATAAAAAATAAGAATACCATCCCGTTTCTCATCACTTGTTGACATTAGTAAAAAATAATTTCACATTAAAAATGTGGAGAGCCAGTAATGGACAAGGATAGGTCCAATGATGGACACTCCCTTTTCATTTACAGTCGAATCTACAGAAAGGAAGGAGATTTCGGGCTGAAGCTCCCCAAAATAGTAAAATATTACTATGTCTTACGAAATATTAAAATATTATTTTCAAAAGTGTTATTATTAGTGTAGTTACATTTAATAGGACTTCAAAAATCATCGAATTAAAAAAAATGTATAAGTAGTTAGTTTTTTTTCTTTTTCTTCCAAAGTATTTATCGTTAACAAAAAAAAAAAAAAAAAAAAACTTTCGGGCTAAATTTCTCCCAACTTGAAATCATGCATCCGCTAGTGATGAATGGTTAGATATATAATAAAGCAAACAGGGCACCATTTGATTTTCCATAATTTTTAGACTTAAAACACGCAGAAATACGAAATTTTACATAAAAAGTGTGGGAAGCCATTAATGGACATAAGTGTCCATGACTGTTCTTGGCCAAACACACCCTCCCCCAAAAGTTATTAAAAAAGATAATTTTGAGGAATTTTAATGCAACGAATTGCTGAGGTTCTGAAATTGACATTTTCATGTTAATAACCCTAAAATGTAAAGTTCTATAAACATAAATGTAGAACTCTCTTCAATATGGTTAGTCTGAAGTTATCAACAGACGGATCTCGAGATAAGTTTAGAAACATCACTGATATTTTTTCTTAAACTTACTTTTGGAGGTTTCCTTCTTATAGTTGTTATAACAGAAAGCGTTTCCTTCTTATAACAGAAAGCGTTGCTCTTCATCCTGTAATAGAATTGGAATCTGTAAACCAATCAGGAAGCTTAATATTTACATTTAAAGGACAAACCGTCTATAACTGGTGCGCTTATCCTAATGTTTTTTGAAGGAAATAATTACTCTTTTACATCATACATTTATTCGTATGTTAACATCGTTTCTAGATCTATAAATAAAGCAAAATACATTATTAAGAAAAAATAATGCACGATTTTGTGAGTTACTATTTCATTTAAATTTCAAACATTACTGTGATTTAATCGTATTGATACAAGTTTTAAATTTTGTTAAATTCTCACAATAATATTTGTATTTTAAGTAACTTAAAAAATGATGCATCATTATTTCTTTATGTGTTTTCTTTATTTACAGGTAATTTTATTATGAGCCAATGGAGCTCAAAACGTAAGAATAAATGGATAATGTAAAATGATCATTATGATATAAATTTTAAATGTTTAAGGAAATAATTACTCTTTTACATCATCCATTTATTCGTCTGTCAACATCGTTTCGAGATTTATAAATAAAGCAAAACACATTATTAAGAAAAAATTATGTATGATTTTTTAAAAGTTACTGTTTGATTTAAATTACAAATATATATATATATATATATTTATTTATTCATGATATTTACAACTGTATTAATATAAATACATCAAGTAAATCACTAGTGGATCCAGGATTTCATTTTGGGTGAGGCTCAGTCCGAAAGCTTTTTTTTTTTTAAATATAACGAAAATTACTTTGGAGGAAAAAGAAAGAAACTAACTACCTATACGAAATGGTGTTTAAATGATTTTTGAAGTCTATTAAATGTAGATAGATAGAAGCGTTTATTTGTTTATAAAGTACATAATATCATATGTTTTTTTACATATAATTAAACTATTTATCGACAATGAACTAATGTTCGTCTGTCTGGTTCACCCATGTGTCATGTCAATTCATATGAAAGCTAAAAAAACAACAAAAAAAACACACAGTTTCTCGTTTAACTGTCCTATTAAATGTAATTTCACTAACAATAATACTTTCAGAGATAATTTTTTAATATTTTTTTTATCAGACATGATAATATTTTACCATTTTGGGGGGCTTCAACCCAAAAGACCCTTCTCCCTCCATAGATGCTCCTGTGAAGTAAATGTATATAATTACTTAAAGGAATATAATTACATAAAAACGCTTGTTGAGAAACTACCCATTGATAGCACTCTAATAATTATTCTACACAATGAGATCAGGAGGCCATGTTCAAATCAAAAATATTACAGTGATAATTTACCAAAATTTAAAACTAAATAACAATAAATTTGCTATTTTAATCAAATAGTAAATAACAAAATCATGTATTATTATTTCTTAATAGTACATTTTGCTCTATGTATAGATAAGTTGATAATAGGGCTGAAAACGTTAATGACATGTGAACAAATGAATAAAGCAAAAGGGCAATTATTTTATTGAAAAAACATTACATGATGTTCTAGGAAGGTACCGTTGAAAAAAATGTAACTCAAATGTCAACATTTTTGAGTAAAATAATTTTAGTGATATTTGGAAAATTTATAATATCTGTACAAACAGTGTTTAAGTTAATTTCAGAATAGGTGGTTGGAGTGTTGGAATATAGAATTGTGAATAAAAGTGTACATTTTCCCACTAGAAATATCACTAAAAATAATAATAAAATTTTTTGAAATTTGAGTTAATCTTTCTGTCAACTGAAAAGCTCAGTTTGTTGCTTTTTGAAAAATGTATTATATGGTTAAAATAAATATCTATCAAGAAGTTAATTTCACTGCCAAAACACAAGATATAAAGTAGGTGTTTGTCATAAGTTTAATCAGACAACTTTTTTTTTTTCATAAAGATTTTAGAATTTGAATCTTTATAAACATGCTGTTTTATATACCTCGATGTTATACTATTTTATTTATCTTCTAAGTAATAAAGATTAACATATAATTGTTATAGATTTAATTAAAAATAGGTTGATATGAAAGAAAATTTGTTTTAAATTATACAGTAAAGTTTTTCTATTAGGAATTAAAGTTAAAACATTTTAATGGAGTGTCACAGTGAAGGGGTATTGTAAAACTCAAGTGAGGAAATTTTGTATTTCGCGCTTCCAAGACGGATCAAGCGCACAGACTAGTTCAAGACCGTGGGAGTTCAGCTTACATTAGCTCGTAACTTTTTTTAAATGTTACTAACACTTAAAATATCAAAACTTGATACCAGTACCTCAGTTTCGTTGCGTTCTCAAGAAGAAGACACATTGTTTATTTACTAGTTCAGCTCAGAGCAAGTCGACCATTGTTTGTTCAGAGGAAGGCTACGCTATTCATTCATAACTTCAGTCCGACGTAGTACGTCATGGGAGCGAGTGGACTTGCAGAATACGTGGATATGGAAGAGCATGCTGGAACTTGTCTTTTCTGGAAGTTTTTCTCCAGGTTGTGATGGCAGGATATAATACACTACTCACTTTGGCAGCGGTTTCATTGGTTGGATCGTTCGCTATACTGAATTGCTACGTATACTTTTCTTCTCCTTCAAGCGAAGTTCAAGATGTGGAGCATTGGTTGGAAGATAACAAGTTGAATCACCTCAAAGGGTTATTCAGACACTTGGGTAAGTATTATGAATAGTTTTTTTTCTTCTTTTTTCATAATGTCTCTATCTACGATAATCGTCACAAAACTTTAACTAAACCGCCTACGATATGAAAGACTATACTTTTGAAACCCCCTCCATACCCCAGGTTCGCAATCGATCGGCGCAGAGGATGTCCGTCGAGAACGCGCAAGACTCCCAGAAGCAGCTCAGTTTTCCGACAGGGCCTAAAACACACAGACTCTCCCTCCTCCACCCGCCCTCTCCCGGGCATGACAATAAACACGTGATATCCAAGCAATAAAACCCCCAACCACTTTTCATCCTAACCCTTTAAGAAAAAAAAAAACACACACACATCCACGATGTATTTGAATGTATGAGTATGAATGCTGTTTTGAAACAAAAAAAAAACTTAAATTTTTAGTTTTTAAACAAAAAAAAATTAAACAAAAACACATAAAAAAATTAATATAATTAGGGTCCAAACGTTCCGTCTGAAACCGTCCAAAGAAATAAAATATTTGCCAATATGAACGATGAAATTTGTTCAATCGCTATGACAACTATGCGTTCGTCCGATAGTAATTCTTCAGGTAAATTTATGATTTATAAATTTCACACTTTTATTTATTTTATAATTTTTTTTTCAAGTACTGCCACAATGTATATAAGCAGTAGATATATCAAGCAAGTAGTTTATATTTAGTAATTTTGCAATTAACGTAGTGTATTCGTAGATATGCACAATGTAGATTTATTTTTTACGGTAAAACATTAAATTTGTATTTCGATTTTATTAAAAAAAAAATTAATTCAATTTAGTTATTGGAATTGATAGATCATGCATAGTATGCCAACAATAAGTACCATTAAGTGCTTATTTTTTAATATATTTATTTTTTCAAATAACTATATGGACACATAAAGAAAACATAATTGAAGTACTATAGAAAAAATATATATTAATTTTATCTAACCTTAATCTGTTAAATTTAATCCTAGGATCAATAATTTGAATATAATAATCATGGTACGGATGGAACAAAAACATTTTTTTTAAATCGCGAGAAAAATCATTTACATTTATTTATTTTTTTTGGTGTTTAAATAAACTTATATATTAAAATTGTATTATTTTTTCGTGAAACAATAAAATATATCACACTTGAGGAAAATAGGTACTGTGACTAGTAGATTAAATTTTGGGGGCTAAACTTTTTTTTACGTTTATTATAACAATATTGCTTTTAGGAATAAAATATTTACACTTTTACTTTTTGTAGGTGAAATACATTCCTTTATAATTTAAAAAGAGAACAGATTGTGATAGTGTAAGTATTTGGATCATTCAGAGAAACAATTATAGATCAATAAAAAAGAAAATAATATTTTCAATTTTAAGGAAACTTCAGCCGAAAAGCCTTTCCTTGAATTTTATAGTAAAAGATTTTATGTAAATAACATGTTGTTTAAATTAAAAAAAAAATAGAAGTATGTATTACATATTTCTCTTCTTTCCAATTATAGTCCGTGATACAGACCTCTTTTTATCAAATTACTAACATCTGACTGAAACTTCGTAAATAGCTTCATCTCATCGTAAACTTCAAATATTTTACTAAAGAAAATTTTCGTAGATAAAATATTTGTAAGTTACGATGAGACGAAGCTATTTACGAATTTTCAGGCGGATGTTAATAATTTGATAAAAAGGAGTCTGTCCCACGGGGTATTAAGTATTAACAAAAAACTTACAATGACAGAAAATAGAATGCCAAAAAAGATATGACATAATAAGAGGAGACATAATGCTTCAAATTTTCAAAACTGACTGACGATTACAACTAAGGCCAAGGCAATAAAATTATGTACCACGAGGCTATATATTTATATTTTCAAAATCTGCTGAAACACGTTGTAATAAATTAAAACAATAAATCATTTTCTTTGGAGATATTTTAGCCAAAAGAGAAGGTAGTTTATTTCTTATGGTACAATGATGAATATTATTATATTAAAATAAAAATATATATACACACACACATATACATATATACATATTTAAACTTTATGGCCTACAAATCAAGTAAAAACTATATAAATATGTCACATAAATTTAACGTCCTCAGTGAATTCGTGGTCGTTATCACACTTTCACATTTTTGAAAAAAAAAAAAAAATTATTAAATTTATTTTGTCGACACATCAATAAAAAATAAATGTATTATTATATATGTGTGTATGATCGTCCTTCTGACTGGGCTTAAGGACAGTGTTCAATCGGTCAAGATCCACGTGTTGTGGCCGTTCAAGGTCAGCAAGCCCAAAGGGACATACATTTCTTTTCCAAGAGAGTGTCCATGAGCCAAACCACTGCTATTTGGCGTACAAGCTGTAGTGACATCATTCCTAGGTCCGTTCGTTGTGAGTGGTCTCCACTAGACTGACTGGCCTCACATAACTGGAGGAGTGAGGAAGAAGTTATTAATGGTCAATGATCAACTAACTATTACTCTTGATAGTTGGATAGCCCGTGAATAAAAAATAAGAGTCTGCCATCATCTGTAATCGGTCATACTACCTGAAAGAATGGTGGTTGATTCAAAGAATAATAGGACAGTAACTTGAGGTTCGAAATGAAAAAAATAACACTAAATGTTTCCCAGCTCTAATGAGATAATTTTTATTAATTTTGGATGGAGAGAAACAAATATGACAATGATTTTTCTCTTTAATAATTTCTATTTCCAAGATGCGTAATATGCATGCATGTGGAGTAAATTCATTATAATTTAAATGTTTAATTGTTAGTGCTAGTTTTAGTGCAAAAAGGTCGTATGTAAAAATGAGGAGCATTAAAAACTGATTATTTATTTATGATTTATTAATATAATTTATTTCTAAAGTGAATACTTCTTTAGGCGCGTTTTGTATTTTTTTCTGGAGAATGAATTAAATTGATCCGTCAGATCCCCGATGTGTAACACTCGAGTAAAGTCGGCTGGAGTCGACTAATTGAAGTGTTTTTCGTATATATTAAAATATCCCAAAAACTAAAAAAAGGAACTGCATATTGTTAGCGAGAGAAACGTTCGTAAATTCATCCTCTTTGCAATGAGCTGTTCTTCAATATTATATCATCACGCGACGTCGTGTTAGAGAGGCGGACAGGAAAAAAATATTGTAGAAAACCAAATTAGAACGAGTTTTATTGAAGATATAGATTAAAATATGTCAGAAACAAAAAATCGGATCTGTATAATGTAAGCGAGTGAATTTCATCCTCTCTGTAATCCTATATATTATTTCTAAAATGTGTTTTTTTGTCGGTACGCTACAACTTCGTCATTTCTTCATCAAATCCAATGATTGACCACTCATTTTGAAGATATTATTCTCCTTCACATGCAAAAAATATCCTATCCCCCCGAAATTTCTGGAAAAAAGTTATGAAGGAAAAGAAACTTTATTCACGAATAACTCAAAAAGTATCTATTTTTATCTTGATTGTACCCATGATAATTAGAAATATAACTAAATTACCTACAAAATAAAAAAAAAAAATCGTAAAAAGCGGACAATTATTGACAAAGATACAGTCCATTAGTTTTGGTATACTTCATAATGTCTTCTGTTTAAAGAGATTGCATTTAGGAGTAGAATAGTCTACTATATTTTTTTTCCTGGCTGATATATTAACTTTATTATTTCTTAAAGGTGTTTGTTTGTTCTTACATTTTATTTTTTTAATAATTTAGAAAATCCCATGATCGAGGCATTATTTGGTTTTATTATCTTTCCAGTCAGCCTTTAAAAATAGGTCCTAGCAAAGCAATTTGTACAAATATTTTGGTCTATTACGTTAAATGGAATATTGTAATCGACCAAGAAAAAAATATTAACTCCTTCCTCACATAATACATAGGATCTACTTATTTCCATATTGTTTTTCTATTTCTTCACTAAACAAAATTTTCTGCGAATCATTCGCAAGGGCCAACTAGTGGAATATTATTTATAATTTACTAGCTTATATCTAATCTATATATCTCATAATTATATCTGATTTTAATACATTAAGAGAACAACTTCCATTCAATAATGTTTGATACGCGAAGGTTTATTACATTTATTTTGTATGTTGTCTGTTTATGAATAGGATTTATATTGTGCCATGGTTTAATCATTCCATTTCCTTAAACTTATAATTTAAATATTACTTTTTTCCTTCATTAGATTATCAAAAATCAACAAAAGCTTCTAAACATTGCTTTAAACATCTGATGAAGACAAAAGCCACAAATTCTCAGGGACTTATATAGTTAGTCCAATCCGGAATGTATGTTACTATATCATTAAAAAAATCGAAAGTTTATTTTTAAAATGATAAACAACAATAACAAAGATCTAATAGTAAATGCTATTGTAATCGAAGCACATTGAAAAAAATTACCAACAATGTTTAAATGAAGACACATGTATATAAATAAAAATAAAATTAATATTGTTATAAATTAAAAAGAATATAATTATTTAAATTTAAAAAAAATACTGATTGATACATAATATACTGTAAAAATGTGTTAATCGTTTTTGAGAAAATTGTAAAAATGTGTTCCATCGTTAATATAAAGTGGCACTTACGATTAGCCGATTTTAAGGAAAAAGTTGTTGTTATATCTAAGGTATATACCTATCTTAAATACGTAATATTAGTTTGGTTTTTAGGCTAGACTGTTTACATACACACACACAGACCATTTTGTGGGATTTGGTTATTTGGACTGAGGGACCTCAAAACATGTATTTCCGTTGAAAACTTGGATTCAAAAATTTTCACGATCGCAATACTTTTGCTTACTATATATTCCATATATAGATAAGTGAAAGTAAAAAAGTTCATGATGCATACATGAGTCGATTCCGAACGCATAAGTAGTGAAGACCAATTTTGTATGGCATGTTTTTTAATGTATAATTTACAACTGTATTAAATGATAAATACAACAAGTAAATATGAAACAAGTAACATGACATGTACAATATGAAGAGAAACTACCCATTAGTAGAACTCCCATTATATTTTTATATTAGAAGGTCCCGAGGCCATCTTCTTTCGCCTCGGAGGGTTATCAGGAATAGAAGAGGGAGCAAGATGGGAAACGCGAGGGTTCGGATGGTTCAGAAGTTTATTATGGAAGAACAGGTCTCTGGATTGAGCTAAATCGGAAACATATAGTACATTTAGGTCGAATCATTAACATCCGCCTTAAACTTCGTGAATAGTTTCATCTCATCGTAACCTACAACTATTTTATTTATGAAAACTTTTGTAATTGGGGAGTTTTCAATCTGGAGGGATGCAAACTTTGTCTATTTAATTAGGTACTAATAACTCGTAAATATCCATTTGCTTTCTAATTGGATCATAAGATAATTTGATCACAAAATCGAGAAAAAAGGTGGAGTACAAAAATATTGGGCCGTTTGTCCTATATAACTTGGTTATTTTGAAATTTTGGGGGTGTACGTCACGGCTGGGACCTACAACCCCTTTTTTCTATATTGTGATGTCTTCTTATGCACTACGTTA